GAAAGGGCTGGGGCCACTGGGCTATTTTCACCTTTTATTGAATGGCCTTGGATTTGGAGGCTTCAATTTTTGTTTTATTTTTATAGTTTTCCTGTATTCTTCCACTTGTCAGTAAGCCATTGTTTTCTCTGTGCTACTGATTTTAATATTATACCCCTTTCTATGTCTAAATTTTCTTTTCTTTATTGTAATAGAAATAAATTAAAGCTGGGCGCCAGTGGTTCACACCTGTCATCCTAGCTACTCAGGAGGCTGAGATCTGAGGATCGTAGATCAAAGCCAGCCTGAGCAGAAAGTTCATGAGACTCTTGTTTCCAATAAATCACCAGAAAACCAGAAATGGTGCTGTGGCTCAAGTGATAGAGTGCTCAACTTGAGCTGAAGAGCTCAGGGACAGCGCCCAGGCCCACAGTTCAAGCACCATGATAGAAAGAAAGAAAGAAAAGAAGGAAAGAAAGGAAGAAAGAAAGAAAGGAAGGAAGGAAGGGAGAAATAAAGGGAGAAAGGAAAGAAAGAAGTTAAAATATTACCATTTCTTTACTTTTGTATAATATGTAACTTAATCTGCACAGGGGGAGGAAGGAAGGAGCTCTGTTTTTTGTTTTTTGTTTTTATTTTTTGCCAGTCCTGGGGCTTGAACTCAAGGCCTGGACACTGTCCCTAAACCTCTTTGTGCTTTAGACTAGCGCTCTTCCACTTGAAGCACAGCACCACTTCTGGCTTTTTCTGCTTATGTGGTACTGAGGAATGGAACCCAGGGCTTCACGCATGCTAGGCAAGCACTCTACCACTAAGCCACATTCCCAGCCCCAGGAGGTCTGTTCTTGAAGAACTGAAAAAGATATAAACAACTCCAATTCTTTCCTATCTTTTACACATAGACTTTCATATATTTCTTACTTTTGGTTCAGTTCCACCAAATTTGTTCTTTTTAGATCAGCTGAATTCAGCCTATTCACATAGTAATTTCTACTTTGAACTACACAAAGTTCATACAACTCTTAGTTTGAGAAGTTTCATTTTTCTATCCTTTTATAAAATAAACTCAATCCATTAAACCAGCTGGAAGCCAAGCAGCTGTGAGTTCTCTTGGTTCTCCCTCTTTCTTGTCCACAAAGGGCTGTACCTGAGATGGTTCCCTGTTCCTACGAACAACAATTTGAAGATCAAACAGTAAAATGTTCACGCTTCCCATGCGGTGCCAGACAGACCTAAAGATGCCTTAGCTGTCGTACCTGAGTTTCTCCTATGGAAAGGTCTGGAACCTGAGATCATTGGGAACCACCCAGAACAATTCAGACTGACATTGAAGTTCCGTTTGAAGGTGTCAGTGTTTTGTTTTGTTTTTTTAAAGAGCAAGTTGTCTAAAATTGGAGGTCTTGGTTTCTTGTGGCTGTCTTCTCAGCGAGGTTGGGTAGGGCTTGAGAGGCCAGCAAATGAACTTCAGGCTGACTTCATTCCCACAGCCTCCTTTCCATGTGAGGTCACCGCTAGGTTCTGGCTGAGTGAGGAGGATATACATGAAGGTAATCAATGTGATCAGGAGTGATGTTTGGTATCTAGTGAATCCAGTGATGTGAAAATGGAAGTGGCTGGTAAGCAGCAGAGATGGTAGAAATTTGGAAATCAGGCATCATTTTGCTAATGATTTGTATCAGGTTGAGCTGACTTTCACAGAGCAGGTAGGTTTTGGGCATGAAATGCAAGAAAAGCCCAATTCACAGGACAGACAGAAGATGAGATGCTAGACTGCAGTGGGAATTATAACTTTGGTGGGGGGGGGAGGATAAACACACTCATCTATCTGGAAGAGTGGTTGTGTGTGTCAAGGATAGGAATTGAAACAGGAATTGTCAGGACTTGGCTCGAAGGGGTCTTTGAACACTAGCCTAGAGACTTTGCCTCTACAGACTTAATGCTGAGTACTTTCGTGTAGGGCTACCAGCCTTGAGTCTTTGCACGTCGATGTCTGTGCATTAAGGGATGACAGGGAGTCATGGCATAGTGTGCAATGGAGCCTAGCGCCTTGCTTAGGGTGCTAGTGATCCCTTCTGCCAAGACAGAGCTTTCATGGGAGGCTCCCAGCCTCACCCTGACAGGCAGGAACCGTGCTTTTCTGCCAACAGCAGCCAAATACATGCCTGATGAAAAGCTAACGCCAAAAACGAATTCCAGTGTTTCCAACCCCAGGCAGTTTCCCTGCTGACAATAATATTCAGCTCTCCTCATTGAAGAGCTGTGATCAAATAGATCCTGAGAACTGAAGATAGTTCATCTGAGTGATTTAGTCATTACTGAAGTTATGTTTCTTGGGTTAAAAGCCTCATTTTGATATTGGGACTGTTTAGATGATTGGTGATGGCATTTGCTATACAAGAGAAACCGTGAAGTCCTTCTCTCAGAAATATTTTGGAATGTTAACTAGGAGAAGAATAAAGCTAGAATATTCAGTGCTATTAGTGAAAATTGTGCCACGATTTGTCTGTATTCAACAAAGTCACAACTATCTGTGCTTCTTGATAATGTGTCATCCCAATAGATAAGTCAAAAGAGTGTCATAGATGTTTACTTTAATGCTTTGTTTGCACTGCTGCTAGCAGATGACAGCCTGGATATTAGCACAAATGTTTGCGCCAATGTCTGATGGGCTCAGAAGGGATGTCACAGCTTAGGGATTCGTTCTCTGTTGCTGCACACTAGATTAACCTGAAATTTAGTGGCTTCAGATGACAATAAGTATGATCTGCTATGATTTATGTGATGTGGGAATCTTGAAGTATTTTTTCAGGGGTGGGTAAGGTGGTAATGAAAATGCCGACTGGGGCCCCTGTAATCAGAAGACTAGACAGGGCTGGGGGAATCTGCACTCATGGGGACTCCCTTGCTTGGCTTCTCCACAAGGCTGTCCTGTTACTGGTTCCCCCAGAGCCAGTGGTTTGGGAGAATAAAGTGGGCGTTGTGGACTTCTGAGACCAACTCCAAGAACTTGATAATTCCTCTGAGATTATAGAGACCTTGCTCTTGGTGTGAGCTGGACTCTGAGAGATCTGAGTCCTGTCAGGCTTGCTTTCAGGCACTCATTCTGTATGTGATTACATCAGCTCCATGTTTGGCTCACAAAGGAACTGGAATCCATGACTGTACATAAAGCCAAAATGAAATTCACCAAAATGGCAGAAGTCTCACTAAGTTTATTATTGGAACATGGAGCCGCTAGTATAATAATCTGGTTGTTGTTTTAAAAAAGAGAACTTACATAGGAACTTAAAATAATTTTATAATGTAAAATAAGTAGATTAGGCTCAGTAGGGTTTATCAGGATGGGTTTTCTACCTGCAGTTGTTGATTAGATGAGATCATGCATGTAAATGGGCTTGGAATGTGCCTTGCTGAGGTATTTTTCTCTCGTCTTATATGTGAATATTATTATGCTGGTGTAGCAATGATATACTCAGGGCTCAGTTCATGTTACAGTAGGATTATGTATTTGCTGTGCTTTGATCCCATTCAGGACATGAATCATGTTCGGCACCCTGTTAATACCTGCTTGACTTGGAACCATAGCATCACATCATTCAAACGAGTCCTGCTTCGGAGGATGTCCGAAAGCCTATTTTACCTTCTACATATGTCTGTTTTTATACTGATCTTAAGATCATACTAGTTTAAAGTCAAAATTAAATGATTAAAATCAGTGTTGTTCTGATAGTGTTGATCAATTTCTCAACTGTACTGGGAGAGATAGCCGTGCTGTTCAACCAGTTTGGAGAAATCATATGTTCAAAATTCAAACTGGTCTCATGGGACCTGGCTGTGGTTGTGACGTCTCACTTTCCTGGGGCCAGAGACTTGAACAGAAGTGGGAGGATTGAGCTTGTGAAATTTGGGTTATCGGATTCCCATGCATACCAGTCAGTGTGCATTTATAGAGACAACCAAAGAGATAGCTGCCCAGACTCAGACAATTATAGGTGTGTCCTGTTTTATACAACAGCTGCTGCCCTAAAACCTCTTGTCAATCAACATGATCATGGAGAAGGGGGAGGGGAAAGCTGTGCTTAAATCGGTGGTAAACCCTTTATTTCTTGTGGAGTCCAGGTTTCCTTAATCAGATTTCTTTCAATGAGAGATGTTTGTAGGCATTCTACTCTTCTGTTTTTATTTAGAAAACAAAATAAACCTTTGAAAATTTTGATTCCTACTATATAAGAATGCAGGAAATAATGAGAAGGTATCTTCTCATTACTTGTTGTTTGCTTGTCTTTTTGCATTTTCATAGTGGCTGTTATTTTATGAACTTATGAACACTGACATTTGAAAATATGATAAGTATATTGTGTATACATCCAAGATGGTGTTTCCATGTACTGTGTGGAAGCTGAAAGTTGTGAGGGAGGACGTTTCTCGGGGAGGAGAACAGACATGGTGCTCTCCTATTCCGGAAAAGTCACATTCCATTGTTATAGCCTCATTAAAGTAGTGTGTGAAAGAAGATGCTTGCTTTACCTGTTTTATTGGTAATTGTCAATATCTGTTTTCACTGGTATTTCAAGTGCACTTTGAGATAGTAATGCTTTTAATGGTACAATAACATCGTTATTATTTAAGCAAACCTGGTGAATTAACTTTCCAGGCAATACATAGGACAGAAGCATTCAGTTACAAATGGAGAGGATAAGGAGAGGGAGAATGCAGTTAAGAATTCCATGTAAATCCTACAAACTTTGAGGGACGGGGTGGTGGCCAGGAATGGGTGAGATTGTTGAAAGGGGTGACATCGATCAAGATGTGTTGTGTTCATAAACTGCTTTGCTAAACGGCAACTCCTTTATATAGTACTAAAAGATAATAAAACAAAACAAAAAAGAAACTCAAAAAGTAATGTTAGATAAGATAATGTATAATATTGTATGAAAATCTAATTTTAGAGTCAGAGAAGTTATACAAAAGTGACCTGACTTTCAAATTTGTTTTCACGATTTTATTTTGCAGAATAACAAAGCCATTGACCTTTGCTGATTGTGTTGGGGATGAACTTCCTTTAGGATGGGAAACTGTGTATGATAAACAAATCGGAATTTATTATATGGACCACATAAATAGTAAGTAGAGTACCACATTTGTATCATTATATGTGAATGAATTTTCAAGCTTGAATTCAGAATCACTAAAGCCCTATTTTATAAAGCAAAACAATCATGGCTGGCCATGCAACATGAAACAGAACTTTATACATGTATATGTTTCCTTAGCTGAATTCTCAGTACATGAAACAGACCTCACTTCTGTCTTGCTGAGGGCCGCATATGTTTAATAAGGAATACATTTTTCATGTAGTCTGGAAACAGAAAGACCTCTCATGAAAAAGGTTATTTATGAAAAGCTCATGAGTTCTTAGAACAGTAAGTGCCCAAATGATTTTTTAGCTTTGTATCTTCCATTTAATCTTAATACACTAAACTTTTTTGATGTGCGTGCGTGCGTGCGTGCGTGCGTGCGTGCGTGTGTGTGTGTGTGTGTACGTGTGTGTGTGTAGATAACAGTGAGATTGTAGTATTATCTGGAACAGTGGTTCCCAGCATGGGGTTTATCATGACCCCCAGGGACACTTGGCAACATGTGGAGGGAGGCATTTGCCATAGCCAAGCCTGTGAGGGCTATAGCTGGCATCTAGGTGGAAGCCAACATCCTGCAATGCACAGGCAAGCCCCAGCACAGACAGGAAATAGATCCCAAATGTTAAGAGTATGAGACAGAGGCTCTACCTCATTCAAGATGGATCAACCATCCCTCCCATCAGCCATCTTCCTTCCTTCCTTCCTTCCTTCCTTCCTTCCTTCCTTCCTTCCTTCCTTTCTTTCGTTCTTTCTTTCTTTCTTTCTTTCTTTCTTTCTTCCTTTCTCTCTCTCTGTCTCTGTCTCTCTCTCTCTCTTTCTTTCTTTCTTCTTTTTTTTTTTTGCTAGTCCTGGGGCTTGAACTCAAGGCTTGTGCTCTGTTCCTGAGCCTCTCTGTGCTCAAGGCCTGCACTCTACCACTTGAGCTGCCAGTGCTACTTCACCTTTTTCTGAGTAGTTTATTGGAGATAAGAATCTTATGGACTTTCCTGCCCGGGCTGGCATCGAACCATGATCCTCAGATCTCAGCCTCCTGAGTGGGTAGGATGACAGGCGTGAGCCACTGATGGCCAGCTGCATCAGCCATCTTTAATTAGAGTTCAGCTAGGGTTCCAGTTCTCACTCTCTCATTTTCATTCTAGCTTCCCTTAGTGTTTCTGTCATTGCCGTTCTGTGAGGGACATGAAGCATGGCTTCTCTGCTCCGCTTTCTAGCCCTTTCGTTTATTAAATCTGGCGACTGGACAGGCATGCTGTTCCTACCTGAGTGATTTTGAAGCTCTTTTCCCACTCAGGTCCTGAAACTTCTCATGCTTCCTTATTGTGATTGGTCCAGCCTGGGGTCTCAGGGCTGATTCCCAGGTTTTTGTTGGCCTGCATCCTTTTAGAGTTGGATCTGTCTGTCTTACGTCTTAGGGTGGTGGGGGTTCCTGTACTGGACCTGGATAATTGCAAATTTTATGAAAGACAGCCCATTGGTGATTAAAGATGGGGGGATAAGTACTGTCTTGTCCCAGTGCCCTTCCAAGAAGGTAGCCCTTCCAAGAAGGGGCAGGACACTTCCTCGAGTCCACTAACTACCCACTGGGAAGGGTAAGATACCTGTCAGAAGAGAGGCTCACAGGCCTCAGCTGAAGGTGACCCTTTTAGTAGCCCAAAACCTCAGGGAAATGTGGCTTTCCAGGCTGTCGTCCCAGTAATGACTCAAAGGGATAGCTCTTGATACATGAGACGTGCCCCTCTCTGCTCTGTGGGACTTGGGTATTGTGGCTGCATCACCACGTTTCAGCCTTCTGCAGCCAAGTGGCACAGATACTTCCCAAATGCCATAGACATCTTCCGTACACAGCCTTTCTAGGTGGCTTGCAACCTGCTGCTGTGGCCTGGGACCTGTTGTGGCCTGGCTCTGGTGAACCTCGCTTGCCCATTCCCCTGTCCCCCCTTGTTTGCCACTGACATTCCTTGCCCACTTGCTCACTGAATCACAGCGAGTGTTTATAGAGGGTCACGGTGCTGCCCACTCAGTGCAGGCCCTAGAAATCTGCTCTTCTAATGGATTATTTCACTATCTGTAGACTTCTCTCCTGAACTGTGGCTATGTACGTCGAGGGTATACCATACTTTAGAAAGACTTGCGATGCATCTCACAATGTGCATGCTGGTAATTAATTACTTTTCATATTGAGCAGCAACATGACTGAATAGCTGACTTTACCCTCAGCTCACTTGTGTTCCTGCTCTTTTCATTTCAGAGCTGACCCAGATTGAGGATCCAAGAGAGCAGTGGAGACGAGAACAGGAACGGATGCTGAAGGAGTATTTAATTGTAGCCCAGGAGGCCCTCAATGCCAAGAAAGAAATCTACCAGATCAAGCAGCAGCGGTTCGAGCTGGCACAGGAGGAGTATCAGCAGCTGCACAAACTCTGCGAGGATGACGGCCGCTCATATGCTAGCTGTGAGTTGAGCTGTCTTCTGTGGTGAATATATTCCACTTACAAAGCTATCCTATTTGCTGGTTTCTCTTCAAATACCCAGCTTTATTTGGGCGAGATAGCTTTATAAAGATTTCAGTCACATCCTGTTAGGTAATCAATAATTATCAAGTGTCTACTTGGTGCCCAGACACTGGGGTGTGGTAATCACTTACAACGAAAGGTCAAGTGGGGATGATAAAAAGTAAACAAGCACACAAAATCTCAGGCTACGATGTGAAACAACCTTCCGTCTCATTTTGGAGCAGACTTCACCTGGAGATCATTATAGTTAATACTGCTTGTCTCAAATGATCTCTTGGGACAATGATGCAGTAGTTCCCTTTATCCTGAGTGGGGAGATCCAGGAATCTGGAGGTCTGTCAAGTGCCTATCTCTGTAGAGCTCTTTCTTGGGCTTTAGGTTATTGGACGGTTCAGTGAAGGAGCAGGAGCCATGTCTATCCCAGAGCCTTGGGAGCATTTTTCTTTGACCCTCAAAGAACAGGCTATGTTTTGTTATCCTCAGAAGGAACCCTTTCTTAGTTTTAGAGACTGCCAGAGATGGGCTGCCATTTCATTAGTATTTGGCAGGTATCCTGTTATGGAAGGAGTCACTTTCAGTCTCAGAAGCCAAACCTTTTGTTCTCAACAGTCATTTACTTCTTGAGCCAGTCTCTTCCCAACAGAGTTGTCACACTGCACAATTGATCACAGGAGCACATGGCTAGCACTTTTTTTTGGTGGCAGTGAACTGGACAAGGATATATGTATATGATGTTGGTCTTACTAGGTTTTATTTGATCAGTACCTCAGTAGGAGTTGAGGCATAGGAGAGGGGGACCTGTGTTGGACCTTGTTGCCTGGTGTTTGACTCTGGTGACAGAGCTTTGAACACTAACAAGATACTCATACTTTATTCTGTGTTGCAAGTCAGAATGGAATTAAGGCCAAAACAAATCACAGCTACTATTGAAGTTGAGAAAAACATAAGAGTTGTAGACAATGATGAAGGTAATAGGAATTTAAGATATTTCTATTTCTGTGTACCTTGAAGGGAATGTAGGTGACACAGGTGTAATGATGTGTTGCTTCCAGTCATCTTATGGCTTGGTCTTCACATATTGATTCATACCAGTTTCTGTGTATGTATGTATGTATGTATTTATTTTTGTTGGTCATGGGGCTTGAATTCTGGGCCTGGGCACCGTCCCTGAGCTCTTCAGCTCAAGGCCAGCACTCTACCTCTTGAGCCACAGAGCCACTTCCAGTTTTCTGGTGGTTTATTGGAGATAAGCTTCTCACAAACTTTCTTGCCTGGGCTGGCTTTGAACCGCGATCCTCAGATCTCAGCCTCCTGCATAGCTAGGATTACATGTGTGAGCCACTGGTGACCAGCCCAGTTTACTTTTTTAAACTTTCCATCAGAAGGCAAAGGTTAGCTCCTTGTTGAATTTTAGAGGCTAGTTTCTTCTCTCCACAGTTAAAAAAAAATAGTCCTTTTCTCTGATTTTCTCTGATTTTAACAGGGTGATACTGGCCCCATAGAATGAATTGAAAAGTGTTCTCTTCTTGACTCTTTTCTGGAAATTTATGTAGTGTAGACATTAATGTTTCATTCTCTAGAAAACCCATTAGGGCTGGAAGTTCTTTGGAGGAATATTCTCAACTATAGGTTTTAATATCTTTAATAGATACAGGTCTATTCACCTGTATTATTCCTCCCTCCCTCCCTCCCTCCCTCCCTCCTTTCTTTCTTTCTTTCTTTCTTTCTTTCTTTCTTTCTTTCTTTCTTTCTTTCTTTCTTTCCTTCCTTCCTTCCTTCCTTCTTTCCTTCTTTCTTGCTAGGCCTGGGTGCTGTCCCCAAGCTTCTTTTGCTTAAGGCTCACACTCTATCACTTGAGCCACAGTGCCACTTCTGGTTTTCTGATGGTTAATTGGAGATAAGAGGCTCACACAGTTTCCTATCTTGGCTGGCTTTGAACCATGATCTTTAGATCTCTGCCTCCTGAGTAACTAGGATTACAGGCGGTTTCTGTATTTCTTCTTGAATCAATTCCCCCCCCCCAGAGAATTCGTCTATTTCAGCTAATATAAAAAATAGCAAGCTTTTCTGTTACAGTTCAGTAGGGAATGTTTTAGACTTTGTGGGCCATTCCATCAATCCTATTATTGTGCAAAAGCAGTCAGAGACAGCAGGTAAACGAGTGTCTGGCTATGTTCTAATAAAACTATAAAAACAGGTAACAAGCCATATTTGGCCCACAGGGAGTTTACCAAATGGTAATCTGAGCTGCCAAGTTGACAGACCGCTGTGAGATCTGAGCGGATGGCCTTTCTTTGTGTCATCTTTTAATCAGTGTAGCTGAACATAATTTCTTTTTATTATGAACTGGACTTTGGTTTTCTTTTTTCCGTATTTGTTATATTTTCCTATTATTTTTGAAAATTATTTCCTCTTTCCTACTTAGTTTGCTTTTAATTTCTTCCTCCTTTTCTAGCATCTTGAAGTGGAAACTTTATAGATTACTGATTTTAGACCTTTCTCATTTTCTCATGTAGCTTTTAAAGGTATAAATTCTCCTCTCAAGTACTTTTAACTGCATCCCACAGATTTTGGAATGCATACTTTTCATTCAGTTAAAAGTATTTTCTCATTTCTTTTATAATTTATTTTTTGAACCATAGGTTCTTTAGAAGTGAGGATTTAAAAATATACCATGTTGTTATCGATTTCTGGTTTAATTCTATTGTTGATAAAACTATACTAGGTAAGATTTCAGCCTTTTGAGATCTATTAAGATGACTTACTGGCTTCTCTTGGTGATTTCATCGGATCTGAAGCTAATGGACTTGGTGTGTCAAAGTCACACCTAGCTGACACTTCGGCTTATCACTGGTTCTGAGATGATATAGTTAGCAATTGTAAACTTTTCAGAAAGTATTTAAAAGAAGCCAGTTTGAACCATATAAAATGGTCATTTTTGTGGTGAAAAAAGGGCTGAACATTGCCAGTTTCTTATAATTTGTTCTAATAGTGTATTTCTTTACAGTAGCCTTTAGGTACTTTATCTGTTACAAGATCAAGTTGTGTTAGGTCGCAAATCAATTTTTAATTTTTTTTACCTCAAACAACTCTATTCCATTATTTGTCTACTAAAAATGAATTTTAAGGGACTATAGAGAGAAAATACAACAAGATACTTAATAACCACATTTCTCCAGTATTACATACTAAAGAAAGTAGTAAATACTAAAATTTAATACTAGTATTTAATACTCAAGCATAAAATACTTAAGATTTATCTCTTATATCAGCAATTCCCAACATCATGGAACCTTTCCCCACAAGGAATATACATTATAAGTGTCATTAATATAGTTTCATAGGTTCATGGTCCCCCAGGAGTTTTATTCATAGGTTTCACTTTTTCATGTATATACTAGAAATGCTACCTTCTTATAGTCTAACTTTTATAAAATGATCAATGTTACCAGTTAAAAACTAGTACTAAGGAACAAAATCATGCAACTTTAACACATTTTTTTAGATGTTTCCTACTTTTAAGACTAAAGAATGAGGGGCTGGGAAGGTGGCTCAGTGGTAGAGCGCTTGCCTTGCATGCCTGAGGCCCTGGGTTCGATTCCTCAGCACCACATAAGAAAAAAGAAAAAAAGCCGGAAGTGGCGCTGTGGCTCAAGTGGTAGAGCGCTAGCCTTGAGCTGAAGAGCTGAGGGACAGCGCCCAGGCCCAGAGTTCAGGCCCCACAACCGGACACCCCCCCCCCCCCCCCCACCGCCAAATAAAAAAAAAGACTAAAGAATGAGCTGGGTACTGGTGGCTCATGAATGCAACCTGAATGAAATGGAAAAAGTACATATCAGAAAAATTCAGCAGTAAGTTTCCTGCCAGTAATTGTAAAGAAAAATAGAGTCAAAAGAAGGCATGTGTTATGTACTATCTGGTACCAATATAGTCAGAACATCAACTGAAGTGAGTGTAGAGACTCAGGACTATATTCCCTTAAAGATGCAGATATGCATCTTACATGTAGTACCTTAGAGTACTCATATTGGGTAAGGAGCAAAGAGAGGAACCCAATGTAGTACTGAGCCTCTGAATTATGGTCATTTAATACTTAGAATCCTATGAATTTGAGATATTCAACAAGATCAAGTTTTGTATTTCCATGGACTTTTCACCCCCTTGACATTTGGGGAAGTAGGAATTATACTCAAATAACTTCCAATACCCCATGGAATTTCATTAATGTCCAACAAGAAGAAATATTCAAGATACTCTCTTGGAAGTGGCATCCATTTCTTTCATACAGGTAGCTGATGATTCTGTGGTATTAAGATTCCATTGCTGGACCTGCTCAAAGTCTTCCTTCTTCCCTGTGAGCAGGTCATCTGGAAAGCCAGACTCAGGCCTGCTTGTTTTCATGAAAGGACTGGAGATGCCAGTGGAGCTTCCTGGGGCCTATCAGCTCACCAGGGAAAAAGTCAGCTATGAATGGAATCTAGGAGCTAATCCAAGTGGTTTATCAAGTTGCTGCTGTCTCTAGGGTTTCCACCAGGCCCTTTTAGTCTGCTGTTTAACCTGAGCTACTGATTACAATGAGGAAAACCCTGCTAGTCATGACTCAAATAAATTCTTTCTGGCCACAGGGTAAAGTTCAGTACAGTGATTCTGTTGGCTTGAATCACTGTGATCTAACAGATGGCTTGCTTGTATGGCCAAGCCAGGGCTGGGCCTATGTTCGGAGCTGCTTATGGCCATTTCCATAGCACACCTGGCTCAGGTCAGCCACACGGGATCTCTCAGTACCAGCTTGTCATCTCACGTGGGGGTGGGAGGCGGGGGTGGGGGGTCTCCTTGTCTTGGTACTGGGAACTGAATATCCTGGATTTAGTTCCCATTAGTTCCTTTACTGGTAATAAACAGAAGCAAAAGGAAACATTATTCAATAAGCTAGTGTTTCATATGCATTATTGTGGTTGCCACATTGTGAAGCATGTGCTATTATGGTCATTGTTCTCTCGAGAAACTGAATATCACTAAGACTAAATCACTTTCTTCAAGGTTATTTACCTGGGAAGTGATGAAACTTGGATTTAAATCCAGATCTGTTGTGGCTTTCAGTTTTGTGTAGTATTTCCTAGACAAAGAACAGGCAGTTCCAAAGAGCTGATTGTACTTTTGGATCATTTGTATTGCCCCTGCCCCCCTCCACGGCCTTACCATTTTCAGGTTATCTGAAAATAAAGATTGGCTATAAATCAACAAGTTGTCTGGCAGTTATACAACAATAAAGGGGGCAAGTGGAAGGTAGAACACTTTCTACTTCTTGACTTTCTCATGGTCTATATAGAATCACAAAATTATTCAATCATATTTTGGACAGATGTTTATTTAGCACCTGCTGTTGGGGGACACAGAAACATCCATAATGGCTGATTGATTGTAGGGGAAAATGAGGTAATAATGATGAGCATAAGATTGAACTACAATGGCCATTTCTAAGGTTGGAGCAGAAGGGTGTGGGGAGGACTGAAGAAGGGGAAGTGTATCTTGCCCACACCCTTCACAGATTTCCCCTGAGCTATGGAAATCACCAGAATAAGACTCTATTCATTGGAGAGGAAAGATTTTTGTGTCAATGTTGGGCCATCTGGTATCTAAGAATATCTAAGCCTTGACCTTTTTTGTTCCTGACAAAAACAAATTCAGATGCTGTGTTGAATTAGCACACACATGTCTCCAGGAATCAAGATCTGAGCTCTCTTTTATTTCTGTGAGCCCTGGATCTCACTGCCTGGCACCCAGTCCTATTTTGTGCTTTGTAAGGCACTGGGATATAACTACTCTACAATCGATTCATTCAGTGATATACCCACTACTTTTTTTTGTTGTTGGTCGTGGGGCCTGGGTGCTGTCTCTGAGCTCTTCAGCTCAAGGCTAGCACTCTTCCACTTGAGCCATCGCACCACTTCCGGCCTGTTCTGCTTATGTGGTGCTGAGGAACGGAACCCAGGGCCTTATGCATGCAAGGCAAGCACTCTACCACTGAGCCACCTTCCCAGCCCCCAGTACTTTTTATCCAGCTTCATTTTGTAGAGTTCTCTCCTATATTTTTCATTCCAACATGTTCATGTATTTGTCTTCCTTTTATCACTGGATCCATTATCTTCAAAACTTTTTTTTTAAGTGGAGTTAGTCTTTGATTTTTGAGAAACTTTGCCTCTGCATGTATTCACTTAGCTATGTGACCATTTGCAGGATCTTTTGGAAGAAATTCTATAAACTTACTTTAAGCCCACAAGCTGAAGTTGTCAATGCAAGTGCTTGCAAATAACGTTTTTGTGGAACACAGCCATGACCACTCACTTGCTTATGGTCTATAGTGGCTGCTGTTTACAACAGCAGAATTGATTCTTTGAGACAGACTCTATGCCCCCCCCCCGAGCCAAATATATTTATTCTCTGCCCCTTTAAAGAAAAACTTTCCTATCCATGGTCTACACCAGTATTCTCAGTCCTGGCTGTAAATTTGAATCTCCCAGAGGGCCTTCACAAACTACACTACTGCTTGGTCCCTAGGCTGAACAATTTGGGTTTAAAGTGGCTTTGGTTGGGGCCAAACATTTTTGTTTGTGTCTTTAACGCCCCCCCCCCCGCCCCTGGCTCCTGAGTGAAGGTCCACTGGTGTAAAGTGATGTGCAGATGCCCCTTTGAGCAGCACGATATGACTGCTACCGCGGCTCTGTGAGTGAGACACCAAGAGTGCTTTTGGGTGCCTGGGAAAGAGTCCACCTTATCTCGGTGCGAAAGTGCTGACTCACCCTGGATTCTGGGGTCAGGTGGTGGAAGAAGCTTGACCTTATCAGCCATGAGTCCTGCCAACATTCTTTCTGAGACTCCAAACCCATCCCACTCACACTATCTTACATGGCTCTGCTAAAGGTTTCTCATCTGTGTCTGGGTGAGGGTAAGGGCTGCAGGCAATCTGCTCAGCCCTTTGTTTTCCTTCACACAAGCATGTTGGAGCAGGCAGGAGAAAATGGATCAGGCAGCAGTTTTCACATGTATTAGCTGCCACGCCACGCCTCAGTCTTGAAGGCGATAGCAGAGAGAATCCCTCAGGAGCCAGGTCCCACACACCAGTCCTTCCCCGAATGATGCTTTAGTATAGGTCAAGTGATTGCAAACTTAGGCTTTTAATCTATAAAGTGGAAAACATAATCATTCTCTCCCTTTCACAAAGATTTTTATGAGGATAGATGAAATCCACGTGAAAGGCACACTATAATAGCAAGGCATAGTCATTTTCATTGTTGTGGTCCAACTAAGCTATACCCTTTTTATTATATCATCCAAAGCAATATTATATGTCTGAGCAGACTCTGTGAGCTCTTTAATCACTTTGTACACTCAACTCTCAAGAGAGAAGAAAGCTTCTGAGGTGGAAGTCTGGTCTTTATCATAAACTTTGAGATGGAGACATGCTTAACCAGGGAAGACAGTTCTTTTTTTTTTTTTAACATAAATGTGAAAGGCTTGCTGCTTAGAAGGAGTCTGGAGTCAGAGCTGTTCCTTGAACCCCATAAGTGGGTCTGTTAAACTTACTGTTTGATGTAAGCAACTTAAATTGCCTTTTGTCTTATCTCAGACCTGGAAGTTCCCAACTTTACAGAGCATGTGAATAGTCTTGGTGTAGTAAAATCCGTCATCTGAGATGCTCTCAGCTGTAAGTAATGGAAGACTAACTGACAGGGGCCTAAAGAATAAGGACATTCATTGTCATATAACAGAGTCCTTTGGAGTTTGAGTAGGGTTTTCCATTGGTGGATTTGGTGGCTCCTTGGTGTTTTGGGTCCATTAGAAAAGATTAAAGCTTTAAGATTTGGAAATAGGCATTCTCATCTAAGAAAGAATTATGGGTCTCTGTCTCTGTCTCGTTCTGTCTGTCTTTCTCTGTATATTTTGTTGAGATTTGTTGGAGTGTTCTACTAGCAAGCTTCACCTCTAGCCCAAGAATACTGTTTAAAGAATATTGTGCTCTGTGTTTTTGAGAGATCACAATTCAAGTTTTAAGAAAATTTGACATAAAGCTGGCAAAAATTGAGTTCTTCCAGATACTTATTTCTAGTAGATTCAAATGTTTGAAGTTCTGACTGAATGGGGCTTAAGTAGTAGATTTTCCATAGAGCTGTTTTTAAAATGAGAGATCTGAACTGCTTAAATTAACTTTGGATGCGGTACTAATTGGGGTTTTAAATAACTTTGCTGTGTAAGCGCCTTGATAGTTTTGAGCTGTCCTTTCCAATATAAAGTCAAGAAGGGATTTTAAATTAAATTCTAGTTGTAGACACCTAAGCTAGCAGTTGACAGTCACCCTTGGGTACCCAAATCTAGGGAGTATAAGAAAGAGCACTGGCCCTGCAGATAGATCTTTTGAGTAGTTATGTTAAGGACACTTGTCAGGAGGAAGATGATTCCAGTGTCTGGGTGGCTCCCAGAGAAAGACAAGAAAAGAGTACAAATCAAGTCGTTGTAGTGTGCTTCAGATATCTAAAGAAAATAGAAAGAAACATGAAGAAAAAGCAGTACAGAGAGGTGAAAACTGTGGTAGGCATGAGAAATAGCCCAGGGCTCTTCTGGCTGTTGGAACATTGGAAAAGGCAGAATGCGGGGCATGTGTGAACAGCTCTGTGGCACTGTTCACTCTGGTATTGGCTACGCACACTAATGATGCTGGACCTGTAAAAAGCGCTCAAATCATGTGCACTGCACCGTACGGAGCTATGTGGTATATTTCAGCTACCCATTCATCAGGGACAAGCTGTGAGAAAGGAGTGTTCAGTTTCGGGGGAGCAAACAACTTGGGAGCAAAGCTTTTCTCAATCCTGCCAGATTGACATAGTATTGACACTGAGATGATTTTTAGTGTTTCCCTTCCTCATGTCAAAATATATTTATCTGGAGAATATAGATGTAAAGAAAATGAAGATAATATCATTTGTGGTATAGCCACAAAGATAACCAGTAAACCTTTTGGTTCCTTCAGTCACTTCTATCTGTATATTAGAAAAAAAGCAAAAGATGGGTTCACACCACAGGTACCATGCGCATAGTAAGAACAGTTTTCTACATCATAATTTTTTCCTCTTGCACATATGCTTGTGTGTGTGTGTGTGTGTGTGTGTGTGTGTGTGTGTGTCAGTGTGTCACTATCGAGGATGAACTCAGGGTATTATACTCTTATTCACTGTTCTTGTTGCTGCTCTACCACTTGAGCCACACCTCCAGCTGGGCTTTTTGCAGGTTAGTTGCAGATAGAGTCTTACAGACTCTTTTGCATTGGCTGGTTTTGAACTATGATCCTTCAGGTCCCAGTCTCCTGAGTAGCTAGGATTACAGGAGTAAATCACCATTGGTTGACTGAACATATGCTTTTTAATCTGAGTAGATTCATAGCAGAAATAAACAGTTTTGATTTACCTAAAGCTATGTATTTCTTATGTGGAATCATGTAGAAAATCTTAGTGCAAAAAGCAAACATCAAGAAAATTTGAAGTAATGAAATGTTAATTCTTTAAGAGTCAGAGCCTATTTGTAAATCTGAGACTTAGAATTAATTCTTTAATATGATAAGTCAAGAGTTCTTGTGTGTATGCATTTTAAAGGATTCATTATGAAATACTTTCTTTCTGTTTAGCTTTTTCTGGATATTCAACAAATACGAAGTATGACCCACACCAAATTAAAGCAGAAATAGCAAGTCGCCGGGATAGGGTAAGTAAAACCAGTGTTTTCACAAATAGGAAGTCCCATACATATTCTATGTAACATTACTTTATCATGGTTCATTTTGTGGTTCTCAACATGTCTAACGCTCAGATGTTAGTAAGATTTCAATGTCATGGATTATCATTGCATTTTGTTTTACTTTCTACTTTTTTCCAGTAGGAGGGAAAAAAAAGTTCCATTTTGAAAGCACAGCTCATGTGACAGCTGTAGTCAGTATCCCTGTGCATGTTTCATGGGGCTGAACTCACTGCCCAACTGGAAGTAACATCAGGGCCCTATCTCACGAGGCTGCTCATTTCCCTGAGCTAGCAGGATGCCCACCTTCACTGCCATTCATTCTCCCTGGTGACTAGTCACTGAGGGCTGGCTCCTGCAACACTGCTTGACTAGAGAGGTTCTGATATTCCTCCTTTTCTGATGCCTGGATTCCTCAGGTATCACCTTGTCTCATCCCTGTCTACCTGGGAGTCTGGCAAGGGGCACATTTGTGCTGCATTTGTGGTAAATCTCAGGAGACACCTTGGCAGTGAGGCCTCCTGATGTGTCATTCCCTGAACCAGGCTTATTTTTTAGTGCAGTGGTTCTTAAAATTTAGCACAGCTAAGAAAACAATCTGGGAAACATCGTAAAAGTATAAGCTAACAGTACCCCACACCTCATGCAGGCCTGAGGCACGTTCTGAAATCTGTTTAAAACATTACACTGGGCCAGGCACTGGTGGCTTTCGCCTGTAATCCTAGCTACTCAGGAGGCTAAGAACTGAGATCAGGTTCAAAGCCAGCCCAAGCATGAAAATCTGCAAGACCCTTATCTCCAATTAACCACCAAAAAGCTGGAAGTGAAGCTGTGGCTCAAGTGGTAGAGCCTTGAGCAAAAAGCTCAGGGACAGTGTCCAGGCCCTGAGTTCAAGCCTCAGTACTGGCATACACATATATAAATTACACTAGGCAGTTTGAGTTCCATGTGGTCATAGAGAGCGGCTTTTACAGACTGTTAACAAAGTGAGATGGATGAGCAGATGGACGTATCACCCGATTGTGAGATGTAAATTGTCATCTTGAAAAAGAACAACATTGCCAGCCCCCCATTTGGGTAGGTACTTATCAGGACTGGGAGTGCTTGAGTCTGACTAAGCAAGGTGCTTTAGTGGCAGTTTTATTTCACATGGATGAATGGAGGTTCGGGAGATGATCCAGGGAGTTGCAAGCTAAGTAGAAACGTAGATGCCAGGGCAAATAACTGTTGGAATAATTTTTCACAGCTTATTTTTAGAAAAAATGTAATTTGTCTCTAGCTTTCCAGATTAAAGCGAGAGCTGACGCAGATGAAACAGGAACTGCAGTACAAAGAGAAAGGCGTGGAGACACTACAAGAGTGAGTCGCCTGCCTTGCCATTCGCAGCGCTTGCCTGCCACTTGCCTTTCTTCTGACACACTTGCTTCCTAAGCCTAATGGCCTTCACTTTCATGCCTTTATATATACTTTTTTATTTCCAGCTGGAAACACCAGAGTCTCTCTTTTTCTCTTTTTTTTTTTTTTTGGGTCCAGTCGTGGGGCCTGAACTCTGGGCCTGGGCGCTGTCCCTCAGCTCTTCAGCTCAAGGCTAGCGCTCTACCACTTGAGCCACAGCGCCACTTCCGGCTTTTTTTCTTTTTTGCTTATGTGGTGCTGAGGAATCGAACCCAGGGCCTCAGGCATGCAAGGCAAGCGCTCTACCTCTGAGCCATCTTCCCAGCCCCTCTCTCTTTTTCTTGACGATACTTGTTAGTTTTATTCTTTAAAAATTTCTCGTTCTAGAAATCTTTAACTTCCACTTCCTGCATGAAGAACAGGAAGTGTTTCTCATTTCCATTTCTCCCTACTTTGACCTTGTTATACTAAAATGAATCCTTACTAACACTTTGAAAAGAAATTTTCATTCTCATTAAAATTAATTAAAATTAAATTAAATTTTAGTTCCTGAGCCTTAGTAGTCACTTCTAATGTACTCAGTGGTACACGTGGCTAGTGTGCATTTTCTTTGCCATGAACACTAGTGACATTTTTGGCCACATGACTGTGTAGGGGCCATCCTGTGCACTAAAAAGTTGGGTAGTATCCCTGGCCTCCACCCACTAACTGTTGATAGAACTCACTGTGACAACTGAAAATGTCTCCAGATAGTCCCAAGTGTACCCAGTTGAGAAACACTCAGTTAGCAGCTACTGGTTGAGCAGCTCAGAGAAGAGATTTCCATCACTATAGGATGTGCTTGCTGGTGGACAGTCAGTCTCATCTACAAGTCATCCTCCTGTTTGTGTCTTTATACTTAGAATCCCTGTCAAGAGTTTGGGATGACTTTCTTATAATTAGTGAACCATCTGAAGCCAGCAAATTAAATAAACAAAATTGTTTTGTTCCAAATGTGATAGTATTGGTCTGAAAAAAAACCATTTGTGTTAAGAATGGTGCTGTGAGCTTTTTGGGTGAGTCCTTCTCTCTCTTGATTTGGAGCCTGGCTTCACTGGCTAAAGCTGGGAATGTATTTCACACTTCCTGCACCTAATTTCTAATAGTAAAATGGTGAGTGTCTTTGTCCATTTTGGTTGCTATAACAAATAACCTCTGACTACGTGGCTTAAACCACAGACATTTATGTATTTCATAGTCCAAGACTCCATTCCTAGTGAGAACATCTTTCCTGACTTATAGATGGTCACCTTATTGCTGTCTCATTATGTGGGTGAGAGAGGAGAGAGAGACAGAGAGAGAGAGAAAGAGAGAGAGAGAGAGAGAAAGAGAAAGAGAGAAAGAGGAGAGTTTGGGGTGGGGGAGAATGAGCACAAAAGCACACACATTCTGGGCCCTCTATTTTCTTTGGGGAATACTAATGTTTTCTAAACCTAATTACCTCTCAAAAACCTCACATCCAAAGTCCATCATACAAGAGGATAGGTCTTCAACCTAAGAGGCTGGAGGGGACACAACATATAGTTCCTAACACTAATGATTGTTCTCAGTTGTCCAGAGGGCAGCACTAGTGCCTGCTACTTAACCTTCAAAAAAAATCAGGAACCAAGCCAGGTGCTGCTGGCTTGCACCTGTAATCCTAGCTACTGGGGGGGGGAGGGGGGGCTGGGATCTGAGAATCATGGTTCAAAGCCAGCCCAGGAAGGGAAATTTGTGAGACACTTATCTCCAATTAGCTACCAAAATACCAAAAAAGCCAGAAATGGAACTGTGGCTCAAGTGGTAGAGCACTAGCCTTGAGCAAAAGAGCACAGGGACAGCGCCCAGGCCCTGAGTTCAAGCCCCAGGACTGGCACCAAAAAAAGAAAAAAAGGGTGGGGGCAGGAATTTACATGTTTTTGTTTTTTTTTGTGATTGACAAAGGTTAGCAACATAACATGCTTTGTATCCTGGTGTAGAGACTCACTGTGTGTCAAACATGACTGTAGTGTCGCTCTTTATGGAAAGATAATAGGTGAATGTGTCTGACAAGTTTAATTTTCTCAGCCTTGTATAGATGGAAGAACTGGGCATGTCAAGCCCTATTGTTAAACACTAAGTTAAGATTGACTTTCTTAGCCCGAACTCCTTTCTGTGTCGTTATATATTAAGATCATCTAGGCATCAGGGGAGGCACAGGAGAAAGGTGAACTGGGTCTGCCTAGAGGGACTTTGGGTTTTTTCTGGCTCTGATTCTCTGGGCCTCTAAAAGATGGTGGTTTTCAGAAACTACCATGCCCTCTGTAGGTGGGTTTTGAAAAATATTTTTTTTTCCAAGGCATTGCCAACTCTGCCTTTTCTATTTCTTACTAGTGTGTTTGCATATATTGTCCTGTCCTACTTGGTTTTTTTTGTATATATTTTTATTGTAAAAATATTATACAGAGGGATTAAAGTTACATGAGTAAAGAGTACATTTCCTGTTGAGCATTATTTCCTCCTTTGTTTTTCTCCTACCATCTCTTTCCTCCCCACCTCCCCAACTCCCCCCCCCCCCCAAGTTGTAAAGTTCGTTTTCAACATAGTGTCTTGTACAGATCTCATTGCTACAATATGGGTCAATCTGTATCCTTACTTCAGCATTTTGTTACTTCCCTTCCCCTCCCCAAATTAGAAAAATGTCTATACAAGATGCAGGGCACCGACATCAAATACAGTGAAAATGGGTCATATAGTGGGGGAAGCACATACAAAAGAAACAAAAATAATCACATGGTACATAATAAATGAATTAAAAGCAACAGCAAGAAAGAAAAAACCACTTGTGTCCCTGTCATTTTGCTTAGCATCATCTTTTTTATTTTATTGTGAGAATACCGTACAGAGGAGTTACAATTATGTGGCCAAGATAATGAGTACATTTCTTATCAAACATTGTTGCCTCCTCTTTGTTTCCCCTTCCCATCCCTTCCCATACTCTACTTGGTTTATACAGCTGTTTTTCTCATTTTTTAGTGTTTTTTTGGTTGGTCATGGAACTTAAACTCTGGGCTTGGGTGCTGTCCTTGAGCTCTTCAGCTCAAGGCTAGCATTCTACCACTTGAGCCACAGCGCCACTTCCAGTTTTCTGGTGGTTAATTGGAGATCAGAGTCTCACAGCTGGCTTTGAACCATGATCCTCAGATCTGAGCCTCCTGAGTAGCTAGCATGACAGGTGTGAGCCACCAGCACCCAGTGTAAAAGTTTTAGGCAAATCAAACTACGTATCCAGTGCTTGTGCTGGCTACTGGTTTTTATTGCTCATTTGGTTCCTTTGCTACATGCTTCCCAATCCACTGATCCAAGCTCTGTCTATAACCTATTAACTTCTATAACCTCTATATCCTAGCCAGCCTCAAGCGTCTCAGATTTCTCCCCGTGTACGTAGTGTATGTAGTGGCTATGTTATCCTGTGCCCCTTCTGCTAAAGGGATGGGGGAAGAATGAGAACAAGTAAGCAATGGAAATGGATAGATCATTGGAAGGTATCTGGGCAGCCTCGTTGAATTGGACTTCCTGTTCTGATTGGGCCCTACTTTAGTTTTCTCACACTACTCTACAGTGTCTATGGATAATTTATTACCTTGATGCTAGGTATGTTTGAACTAGATTGTAGTTTATTTCTCACTGGCAGAAACTGAAGAAAGTAACTGGAGCTCCGGAAGAATCTAAGACTGGAGTCTAACCGGAAGCTAAACCCTGTGCTCTTCTTTCTAGACCCAGCACCAGCTCCTTTGCCAGGGCTCCATCATTTTGGGCAGCTCCATCTCCCTGTTGGAAGACAAAGGTTCTATTGCAATGTTTTCTTAAGGCTAAATAGCCTAGAAAATAGAATGTGCTGGAAACCAAGAAAACTGCCTTGCCCTTGCCCTTGCCCTTGCTCTTGTCAGGAAGTAAATCCATCCAGTGCAGTTGTCATTTTGTGAATGAGAAATGGCAATCTGTGTTTCTCTCCGTGGGTGGGCAGGGACATCGTAGCCAGCATACGGAGAGGGTTAACTGCTTCTGCAGCCAGTGTGCAGTATGACTTGTGCTTCTGGATGAAAGAAGGACGGTACTGTTTGTGTTTATATTTCTGCTTTCATTAGCAAGGTCCCACGCTGGAGAGCAATGATTGTAAACTTGCCTCCTGCCAAGGGGAGGCTGCTAGTGCCTGCCAGAGCTGATGGGGACACCCGCCCTCTCTGGGGAGGTGGAGGAATGGCTGGGAAGGCTGTGGACCTGGCCTTGGTCCTGAGGGGCCCATCCCAAGCCTGTGTCCCACCAAGAGGCTAGGCAGCCTTGCGTGGAGGAGCTGCAGAGTGCGCTCTGGCTTACTCAAGCACATTGCCCTCGGTTTGAAGCTTTATTGTCACTAAGTTCCTGTGTTCTCTGATTCAACCTCAGGAAGAGGAGAAAACTTGAGCACTGAATCGATGGCATGCTTAAAATTCTTTGTAAGTTAAAAACAATCTGATCGTTTTTCTCTGAGTTTCACAGGCTATTTTTCTGGTGTCAAGGATTGGACATTTATGTTTGGATCAAGTGATGCAAATTCATATTTATTGTTTATTGAGATATTTTGGAAGCATTTTAAGAATTGAAAATGTAATTACCTTACGTTAGTTATGAGTCCTGACTGCAAGTACAGATAGCATATGATCTATTATACAGAAAGGTGAAGCTGCTCTGGTTTTATTACCAACATTGATTTAAGATTTAAGGTAATGGCCCTGGATTTTCCTTTAGAAACTTTCTGCTGTTCTTGCCTCACCAGGAGTTTGGCTGCTTACAAGCATTTTAAACTTGACTTGTTTATTTTGGTGAATTTCCTGGCTAGCAAGGAAATCCATCATTATGTTTGACTCCAAGTGGGATAAAAGAACCTTTTGTATTTTAGAAAATATCTGTATATTTTGTTAGTATTG